AGCGTCATAATCATTATTTTTGAGTTTGCTGGTCATAGCAAGGGGTTAATCATCTACGGTCTAGGGGCCGACTAACCTCTCCCTTAGGCTTCGGCCGAGCTTCCTGATCAGTCTGTAAATCTCTGGATAGCGGTGTCGGGGTCGAAATCTCCGGCGTAGCCGTAAATGCTTCGCGCTGCCATACGACGGTTCGGCACTCGATGTCTGGAAGTATGGTCCTTTTTCAATGAATCAAAAAGTAAATATGCCAAAATCATGTTTTCATAGCAGATAATCTTTGAAATTGGAAAAACATTTACTATGATGCGCGTTCCGTTTAGTTTTACTAAATGCATCCCACATGGAAAGGAGTGAGTATTCGCTCAAAGCCATTAGCGTTAACTAACGATCGATCTAAACTGAATTTAGTTTAAACGCAAAAAGTTTATAATAAATTGATTCCGAATAAGCTCGGTCTGAGACGATTTGTGAAAGTGTGAACAAACATTAAGCCTGGGCCGCCTGTGGTTCATTACATCAAGAGTAAACTTTAAAGATAGCATTATGACGTAAGCTTTTATGCTTCCAGACCAGGTCTTTAATTGGCACATAAAGCCATTAACGACACCCGATCATTTCAGCATTGTTTGTGTTGACTCAGGCCTCGTCCACACGTATTTGGATGTTTTTGAAAACGGAATTTTCCCTTTTGCGAATTGGCCTTCATTCTACACTTCAGATCCGGTGAATAGTATACCGGCCACTTACGCAACTTTTCGAAAACGGATACGTGTGGACGGGCTAGTATACCGGCCACTTACGCAACTTTTCGAAAACGGATACGTGTGGACGGGCGAAGAAGATTCGAAAGGCACTATGTGTACATGAGAATTTCTTCGAAAACGGAATACAAAATCGCGTTTTCGGATACGTGTGGACAGGACCGGCTTACGTTCAAAGTCGTTAGTTTCTGTTCCAGTACATTCAAGGTCGTTAGATTCTGTTCCAGTACTGTGATTGTCTTCTTCATGCCATTCAACTTGCTGTCCATACTCTCATCAGCTGTCTGTTTATTGGTCTCTGGTGCAGCACCTGCATGGAATGTATGATGATACGTATTTTAATAATTGAAAAAGATATCGTCTTTGATTTGATTACAATAGCTTCAACCAATTTATGGTTGCGCTGCCCGTAGTTACCAGTTTTGCGCATGCTATGTCCCATAATCTCAACCAATCGACTAGAATATATCTGGGAAGTTAAAACTCTGATTTGTTCGCGGACAATTAATTTCGTTTTGTTTAATATCACTTGAAAATAGAAGAATAGAAAAATAGAATACTGCGTAGTTGTTTTTGTGACAAGATTTTCATTTCACTTTGTTTAATATCACTTGAAAATAGAAGAATAGAAAAATAGAATACTGCGTAGTTGTTTTTGTGACAAGATTTTCATTTCACTTGAAAAACTGCTGCAATTGTGATTGGTTTGCTACGGTCTGAGTCGGAACCATGAATAATCCCCTTCACACGGTTCCCTGTGCCATCTTGAAAGGTAGCCGGGCCTTTGCATCGAAGCGAGACGAACCGTGAGCTTGCAATGATAGAGACCTTTTTTAACACCTTGGACAATTATTCACATGTCTCTATCATTGCAAGCTCACCGTTCCTCTCGCTTCGATGCGAAGGCCCGGCTACCTTTCAAGATGGCGCAGGGAACCGTGAAGAGAACTATTCTCGATAGCTTGTAAACTTGACCTGATATCAGGGTCAGAGAGAGTATCCAAGGCTCCATCCAATCAGAAGTGTTGGATGGTGATATACTAGAGCATGACACTTATTAAAGATTTTATAATTAGTTTAGTGATATGAATTTCGTGACTTCTTCCACTCAACTAATTAAGAGTTCTAAGAATAGATTTCTTAGTAAATCCATAAATCCTTTAATGCTTTACAGTGTAATCTTGCCTGAGTCTTTGTCAAATATGTACACAACCATCAGATACAATCATTCAATAAAAAAGCGATGTTGGAAGTGTTTAGCCCAAGTCAAGGAGAAACGTAATAAAATGGGTGGGGGTCGTAGGATTTATGGGAATCACAAGGTTTTGGAGAACTGGAGAACTGGAGGATGGATCAACCATATAACTGATGACAGGTATTATTAAGGGGGGACGGGAGTAGCACAATGAGAGATTAGCAACCACTATTGCCGAGTAAGGATCGTACAAAAATTCTGATGATTTTTCATGGGGGAGATCAGTTAATCCTTATGACGTCGCAAGAAATGTAATGAGACCCACCCTCCCCACTCCTCCCCCGTCGCAGGTCACAAATAATGAAGGCCGGATTAAGACATATATTTCAAAAGACATATAATTCAAAGATGTGGAGCAAATAATTCCGCCTCCCACCAACCAAATCAAGTCTAAGAAACATGGGCTTGATTGGATGAAACATGTTGACGTCACTTTTGAGACCTCGATGCATGTATTGATCATCTATTGATCACTAAGTGTTGGATCATTCATCGTTCTAATGATCGCGATTTGAATTCTTGTATACCATTTAATAATCTAAGTCAATTAAAATTGCCCGACATTTTTCATTGACAGATTTTAAAAATCGATTTCATACCGACTTCCGCACTAAATATTTTCTCCATTGACCTAATGACGAGCTGCAAATACTCCACTTGAGTAGTAGTTATTTTGAGTATGTGATCATAGCCAATAATTAATGGGTTCTACTAAGGTATCAAGTAATCTTATTATCAATATAATTAGAATCAATTGTGCAGAAATTATTTTTTTCTTTTGCCTCTAGCTGAAAGGAATCTGCTTGTACGTAGTGGTTTCTTAAGCGATTTTATTTGACCAAATACCTCGACACTAAATATGGAATGTTGCAGTGATTCAAACTCGTTATCGGACCAAAACCTGATGCGAACAAATACTTGGTGTTGAAATAATAATTGGAGTATTGGAGTGATTAAATACAAAGGAAATTGAACGAGAAGGCAAGAGAAACGTACTAGTATAGTCAACTCCCTTTGAATATAGATTTGCTTCGAGTGAAAGATGATGCTAAGACATGGATTAAAACTGTGGTACGACATTCAGTAGATTTATTCTTTGTCGGTAGTCAGTTCAAATCTAGAATGTAAACCTTGATATTGTAATTTTTCCGACATTTAGTCAGCGGACTAGAGATCTTCAGCCTATTGAACGGATAAATGAGGTTAGTGGACGGTAATTAAGGATGGTTTTTTGGTTTGTGCAATAGCTTTAAGCTCTGCACTTGCCTTGACCTTCTTCTATCTTATAAAGTCGTTATTTGATGATTAAGCAACAGGCTTAGCCCCAAATGAATGTAAAGGATGAAATGGATGTATCAAATAAAAATACCGTCTCGCATACCTTTAATCCTCTCGGCACAGCAGTTTCCTTTAACTTTTCCAAATATTAAAAGCATTGTCAGCAATATCGAACCTATCGATAAAAGGCATACGAAACTGAACATGGCCATGAATTGGCATCTCATGCGCTGGACGTTATTGTTAGAATCCTTTATTAAACTCCTCCTGGAAGTCCATCCGCCTTGTCGAACACTTCGAGATGTTTTGTTACGTGATTGAAGAGTAGAATCTGCAGGATCATTAGTGCTGTTTGTTAGACCAGCTTTCTGTGTCCCTTCTCTTGTATCAGTAGAAATGTCTTGACTATTTACTGTACCTAAAGGCTCGTTCAAGCGATCAAACGCAGGGCTGATGATAAGAGAACGCGGTGCCTTGTACGAAACAAAGTMAGGATCTTTTTCATTAGCGTTTGACGGTAAAACTTTACTGCCAATTGACGTCTTTTTCGTTTTAAAGGCCGCCATCTTTTCCTTCTTCTTTTATATTTTACAAGACCTTGTCATCAACGGCTGTATGCAGATCTTTGGGTACATACAAATCAATCTATCCACACAATYCGCATATGAATATGGTGGGGCCTATCGATCGTGCAGGGCGGTAACTGCTTCTAAAGCCTATTTACAAAGAAATCTATTGTGTTATCCAGTTGCTAATAGTTTCCAGTGCTGCCGACATTTCAATAATCAGAACGCGGAACCAACAACATTCGAATCTAGTGATGAGTTAACAGTACATGTAACGAATCACGTTACCCAAGAAGGACTGATGAGAACTCTAAGTGCCAGTGGTATATTCGATCCACTGATTGATTTCATAACTCATCCTTGGTTTCAAGTGACTACTTTCAAATGCATTTTTAACCATGATTAGGATTAAAGTGTCTCTAGATGAGATGCGTGCACTCAGGGCCACACCAATTTAAGGTTATCACGAGGCTCCTAATTTAGTCCCGATTACAAAGAAACTCCACATTTATCATGTTTGCTTGCCCCTGAACTCCWTAAAACAAGCAATGGTACTAGTTCACTTGCCAACGATGCATTGATGCCAACAAGGTGGAGAAAGTGTTCTTATGAACTTGTTTAGCTATTAGTACTGAATATCCAATACTAGAACAGGCGATGCCATCCTTTAAAATAACTGGATAATGTTACTTTTACTTGTGCAGCTAAGCTGATCATCGCAGCGGTTCTCAATGGTCAACAGATTAGCCTGACCTCAACCGAGCCACCTCACAAGACCATTTTTGCACAAGGGTCAAAATTAAAGGAAATCTAAAGAAACTAAGCAGAACTCGTGAATGACACTCTTTGGGGATAACCATCCAAAGATCAACAACRACTGATGCTCGGGAAATCATGTATCATTATTCTGATCAATTATAAAATATCTATTACGTTTTTAATAGAAAATGATAGTTTCGAGCGATGTTGTACTTTGGAGCAAGATTATTAAAAGCAAACTTCGTCCTCATCTTGGTAAATCCGTTGTTAATTACATTCCTTCACGTTAACTGATTCTAAGAATACCAATTTCCATATTATCAATGTTAATTTAYTAATTTAAATGGCGTTTCTTCAGTGAAACTATCTGAATTCAGGGAGCTTTATTGTCGACTTCAATCAGGTCTGTAGTTATACCAAGTTTCCTACATAAGGTTTGATATTCATGGAGCAAAGTTAAGACTAACAAAACAAGACACTTACATTAATGATTTGTTTATTTAGATAATGTAAACAAACACCTAAGGTTTCTCTGTAAAAATGTGGGTCATGAAATATTCAGCTGTTGTTTCATCTACATATAGTGATTATTTTCCAAGCTTTCGGATCTTAGATCCATCTTCAGGAAATATTGTGTTACTGTAATAAAAAGAAAAAAAGGAAAAAAGAAAAACAAAAAAAATAAAATAAAAACAAAAAAACAACAGCAACAAAAACGACTAAATCGCTTACATGCGAAGCCAGCGCGCATCGTAGGTTGTTTCGGCTCGCGCAAATAGCCGTCATTTTTTCACTCCATTTACCTCGCTTTATAATCTTCCTCTATGGTTACGCATGTAATGAATATAGATAAAACAAAAACTGAATATTTAATGTAAACATCATTTAATGTTAAATAGAAAATGGTTTAATGCCATGAATTAATTAACGGTCAAACTGGGATGATCTTTGTCGATCGACATGTTTACTTGTACGTCATCATTGCTTTGATTTATTAGCCAAGACACAGCTGTTAATTTCTAAAACCTTTTGTTGCCGTAATGTAATGAATTAGGAGTGGTTCGTGTTCAGTGAAATAGTCGATCAAATTGTAAAAAAATCTCATAGAATGAAATGTCAGTGAAATTTTATTTCCCAAAATTATTATATATTTCTAAATCATATTTATTGAATATGTTCCATGATCATTAGAGATGAAAACAAACAAAGATTCAGCTAGTACGATTCTAGGCTTTCGCGTGAGGTATTAATAAAACAAAAGAGTCTTAACGGTCGTTTTCACTACCTCATCATTTTGAAGAAGACAGCCACAGCTGCAGTAGAAACGTCTTGTGTTGCTAAAAAAATAAACGCGTAAAAACCGTAAAGTCTCTTTTTTATCRAAAWTTYAGCTGTTMCATCYGATGCCATTTTGYTGGTTGACAACGCRCTCCAAAGAGAACAAGGAAGAGATCTTAATAGGAGTGCAAAGTTGTCATAAAGTATTGCAATCATCACTGTTTTATGATGAAGACCTCGTCATATCGTCAGTCTCGCTGGGAGAGCACGCTACAGGCACTCGATGAAATAGGAATCAATCATTAGCCACTAGAAAGGGCTTATTATCTATTCCACCCTGTCTAAGATTGAGCTACTCGGCTGGTTGTAAAAACTGACCACTTGCACTGACTTAAAGTTATTCTTATGTCTTCCAGTCTTGATTGCACTCAAACTCCGGCAGTACAATTACAACTTGACTTGATAATCTGGATTTTTTTTAAATCTGGCTTTGGTATAAAGAGAAGTTCTTTCTCAGACGCAACTCGGATGGAAAGGTTAGACAGTGTCAGAACACAGAGGGCACTTAACGAACGAAAATATCCATGCAATAAATATATCATGGAACAGAATACTAGGATTAATGGTAGCCTTGATGTCAACACTACTTAGAAAAATATTTGACCAACAGCAATTTAATTATTTCTGATGGACTTACGTAAATCTGTCAGGAAAGTATTTTTGGCGGTGAACTGACTCTGGACTTCTTTTATAGCTTTCGCTTCGTCTGCAGCTGTAGACTTGAGTAAAAAGTGTCCTGAACTTCCTGAAATATAACTCAAATGTGCCCGCGGAGCCTAAAACCAAGTACAACCATGATAATTATATTTTTTGGTTCAAATCCTATCGAGATTCGAGTTCAAGGAATGCATTAGACTAAGATTTAAAATCAGTTCCTAGCATAAAGAGATGTACAGGGTGGACCAATGATGTTGCCTAATCTCTCTAAAAGGACAACGCACTGAAACTAGCAAATTAGCGAACAATAGAAGTTAAAGTTCATCGGTTAAACAATGAAGGAGTATCCCCAGTTCCTTTCCTGCTCCGCCGCCAAAGATGACTGAGTGAAACCATGCTTGGTACTCGCACATGTTTCGTTTTGTCTACGCACATAAAACTGATGATATCATGTAGGTGGCACGTGCTAACCCCTTCTCGATGATATTGAGACCTTTGGTATGTATATCTCAATACGCATGCGCATAAAAGTATTTTGAACGAGCCCGTATTCTCCATGGACAGATTATTTATTGTTTATTTTTTTCTAATAATCTGGGGTTTTCTTTCTTTTTGATGAAATTTTCGTTCATTTTGTCTGTTGTTTGTGTGCCCTCTTGCCCATTCTTCATTCCTTTCTTTCTTTCTTT